AGTTCTTCAGGCACTCTCTCCACCAAATCGAGTTCCTTAAATCTGTTCTTCATTTCCACTGTGTACTCATAAGGGATTTGGTTTAGATTATACCTGACTAGCCCAGTGGTTTTTCCTACTTTCTTCAGTTTAAACTTGAATTTTGCTATAAGAAGCTGATGATCAGAGGCATCATCAGCTCCAGGTCTTGTTTTTGCTGACTGTATAGAGCTTCTCCATCTTCTGGAGCTACTTGTACTTGTCATCCGCTCTTTCTCAGTAGCATGTTGGACACCTTCCGACCTGAGGGGCTAATCTTCCAGCATCCTATCTTTTAGCCTTTTGTTTCTGTTCATGAGGTTTTCTTGGCAAAGATACTGGAGTGGCTTCCAGTTCCTGCTCCAGGTGGATCGTGTTTAGTCAGAAATCTCCACTATGACCTGTCCATCTTGGGTGTCCCTGCACAGCATAGCCCATAGCTTCTCTGAATTACTCAAGCCCCTTCGCCATGACAAGGCAGCAATCCATGAAGGGGATTTTTTTTAGTTATAGTGCAACGTAATAATTGTAAAGATAGCCTCCCCCCCCCCGGTCAGTTCTGCTACTGGATGTTGCAGTAAGGAAGGTTTTCCTGCTCTTCCTTTGTGGAGACCATCTGAACCAGTTGGATTTACTCACAAAATTGTTCCATGTTCTGCAGAAGGCAGCAGCTGAAACCCTGCTGCTTTCTTTTGCATGTGGAAACAACAAATGTTCAGTCAATTCTAGCTGACATTTAATGAGTCACCACTAGGATTCTCAGCCCATTAGCTTAGTGTGTGCTCAGCAGGCTTTGCTAGCCCAAATTGACTTAATATTAAACTGTTTTGCTTTCTGCATGTGTAAACAGAGCAACAGGATCTCAGCTCTTGTGTTCTTGCTTTTATCTTTTTTGCTGGCATGCATCTGAATGAAGAGGACTAATCTTGTCGGAAATCTGTTTGAAGCATTTTTCAGATAGATTTACAGAATAGGTCTACATAGCTTCCAGAACTCTGGAAGTCAGTTTCAGCAATACGGGAATAAAATTAGCATTTTGACATTTCACACTGTACCTATTTTTTTGATATTTTTCAGCTGTTTTTCCTCTTCTCAATTACCTCAACAGAATTGGTGCATGAATGGCAGCTGTGGATGACCTAAAGTTTCAAGGTTACTTATAAAATTATGCTTCTGTCTGTGGTTTCTCTGTTTGCTGAGTTTAATTCTGGTTTGGTAATTTATATCTGATTCGTAGTGCACAAAATGTTATATTATTGCCAATTTCTGTTCTTTTTTTAAACAATGTTCCTAAGTATTGCAACATCGCTTAAATGTTAGGTAGTTGATTTTTGCACTACCTTTTTGCGCTTCCTTTTAAAGGGAACATTATCCTTTTAAAAATATAGATATATTTTTATCCTGCTCTTTTCCCAGAAAGCTGAGAGTGGTGTGCATATTTCACTCCTTTTTCTTAAGAAAGCATCCTGAGTAAACTCTGGCAAGAGTGGGGTGTCCCTTTCCCAGCCTGCTAGATACGAGGGGGTGCTGATAAGTATTGAGCCTTTCCCAGAAAAAATTGAGCTAGGAAGCTATAAATTGCAGGGGGTATTGGCCAATTTGTCTGTATTCAATGGTGCGAAAATCAACTACCTATTATTTTAACTTATCTTTCATGTTCAGGTCCAAAGTGAACATGGCAGCACCTCCAGAAAAGTTCAGTGTAGAAGAGCATAAGACCATAATCAAGTTCCTGTTTCTCCAAGGGAAAGATGCAAAGCAGATCCATGATGAAATGTCACAAACTATGGGTGACAGTGGCCCTTCATATGCAACAGTTAAACGTTGGGTTGTCAATTTTAAAACTGGCCATCAGTGTTGTCAATTTTAAAACTGGCCATCTCGGTGTTGAAAGTGAGAAACCCAGTGGAAGGCCTGTTTCTCTCTCTGTGCCTGCAAATGTGAAAGCCATCCA